AATATACCACTGCGGCACTGCATTCCTGAGGCCCCTCTAGAAGTCTAGAACCCGTCAGACAATATGTTGAGAGGGTTAAATTTGGATTTAATCACAATCTGATTGACACAGTGGGATTGTAACTAATACATATAGGGACCTCTAGCCAAGTTGCGTTTGTCGTAATTGTAAATTTGTCATAGATTCATTTCATGTCTACTCTTTAAGGCTTGATTAAACAAACAACTGAAACAAGGGAGAGAGGTAAGGAACTCCTCAAAGACATATATACTTTAAAACATTTCCCTGAAAATGATTTTTTGGGGAAAAAATGATTTTTTAAAAACATTTTATGGTCTTAATATTAAAAATAAAACATATTTACTATTTAGGTAAAATAATTAAGCAATTAGACTCTTTTTTTATTGTCACATTGAAATCAATGTTTTAGACAAGTTACATTTCGACTTGCCTGTAGTGAAATTTTTTATTAACGCGAGTTACATTTCTTTACACGTAAGTTACATCATTCTGCTACTGGAACAAAAAAATGGTTATTGTTCACGCGTTAAAATTTTAATTAAACATTGTTCAAAATTGCGTCGTTTTGGGTGGAGGAGCAAGGTGCTCTTGCTGGGACGACCCACGATATACGAACTGCTATAGTTGTAATATGAATTGATTAAAAATGCATTGCCACATATATAAAATAGCCATTGAGAAACCAACCATTCCAGCTCACTGGGTGGAAGGTTACCGTGTCCTAGCGGAGGTCTCGGGTTCGAATCCCGCTAGACACATTTAGGGGAGAGGAGGGAGGTCTTGCTCCCAATGATTCTTCCTACCTTCACGGAGTTGCTCAGCGGCTGAGAAGGGAGAGGATGATAATGAAGGTAGCGGGTTTGTGTGGTGGGAGGAGCAACCTGAAAGATGATGTAAGTCCTGCTGGATTCGTCCTTTGGAGCCAGTACTGACGAGGCTGAAAGTGATCAAATCCGGACATAACTGTCTAGGGGCTTTGGAGGGAGATCCAAAAACTATCCGCACATTCGACCTTAAATCGCAGGGCTGAAAAAGTCCAAAGAACAAATTACTTTTTCACATCTTCAAAAGCAGTGAAGGCCAGAGCATCTCCTATTCTTCAAACCTTGAAGCTATCAAGATATTTTTCTAATTTTAATTGAACAAAAAATCCGTTTGTGCCCATTTTTGTACCCACTTTTGTACTCACCCCCTATTTTGTCTGTGCACACAGACAATTCGTTAAGAACAAGGCAGCATTTTGTCTGTGTTTGTCTGTGTACACAGACAAAATAGGGGTACAAATGTGTGTACAAAAGTGGGTACAACAAGAAGGACTCTTAATTGAATCACTAGAGTCCGATTCTTCCCTTCAAGCTTTCAAAGTATTTTTAAATTTTAATTGAATCACTAGAGTCTCGAGCATGCCTATTGGTCTATTACTCCTAAAATTATCAAAATGAATCACCGACTAACTCTAACTTGCATATTAAAGTGTGACTCAAGAGATTGCAGATAAGATTTTAGCCTGCTGATTGTTTTTTTTTTTGGTAGGAACATAATTATGGTCTATTTGGCATTTACAGAATTACAGATTATCAATGGGGAGAAGAAAGATAGACCAAGAAATATTAAATAATGCCTTGCCGGTGATTTTTATTTAATTTTAATTGCATTGGAGCCTAAATGCATGATTGCGTTGGAGTGAAAATTGTATTTTAAGTGTGTGCATCCACATCACCTCCACATCTAGTCTATTTCAGTGACGTGCCCATATTTTATAAGGCGCAATCCACTTTCTCATTAAAGATGCTCTTAGAATCGAACAAGAAAATTCGCAAAGGTTATACTCCGTATAACATTAGCAAGAGTATTAATAGACATAGACTAGTCTTTTTACAATAAATAAATAGCCATTAGATATCTGCTAAATAGTTATCAACTAAAGCTTTATTTATATAAACAAGGCTTAATCAAAACAAAATCCAAGGATTGAAGAGGTGAAATAATTTATCCATGTACATGTATTTCTAAAAATATCGCCATCATTAGGATTTGTACGATCATGTGTGTGCTAGAATCTCCTGATTTCACACAACTTCTGTCCAAATTATATTTTATTTCCAAATATGTGTCAACACTATTCCTTAGGGATGGACTCGGGCCGGGTCGGGCCCGGGCCGGGCCTAGGCCCGGTCGGGCCGTCGGGTTGTATGACATGGGCCCGGGACCGGCCCGAGGGTTGGACGGGTCCGGTTCGGGCAGGGCCACTCACCCGGGTCACGGGTCGGGTCCGGTTCGGGCCGGGCCGGTTAATTTTTTTTATAATTTATATTTTATAGTTTATAGTTTTATACGAGTATTAAAAACAAACTTCAATTGCATTTATTTGAAATGAAATAGGAACTACATTTGAAAATTAAAACAAACTTTAAGAGATAAACATTTTGAAAATTGTAATCAATCGGAACTTCCCGCACCTCCCGATCCTTTGGCTTTGTCACATGACTTCATATGCTTGATTGTCATCCCGAATCCGCCTGAAACCCCCATGCTACATTTTTTCTCGCACCATTTGCAAATTGTGTACCACATCCCGGTCTTCGGGTCCTTCTGCTTATCAAAATTATACCGTATAATGGCATCTTGATTTTCCATCTTAACTTCTTAAGTATAAACTATAAAGTAGATATATAAATAATAAATATAATATATTGGAGAATAAGAGAATTAGAGAGTAGAGAGTTAAGAATAGGATTTAGGAAGAATTGGAGAAGAGATGAAAAAATGTTTAAGATTAGGAGTATTTATAGGTTTTTTTACCCCCCACCCCCCCACCACCACCCCCACCACCCAACCCCCCGGACCCCCCCTTTACCCCACCCAACGGCTATATAGCCGTTTGGGTTGTCCCTAGGGTTGGATTCGGTTCAGGCCACCCGGCCCGTGACCCGGCCCGACCCGGTACTGTGAGGGCCCAGGGCCGGCCCGGTCGGGCGGTCCGGGACCGAGTATGGACCCGAACCGGTGGGAAGGGGCGGGGCGGGCTCGGTGCTGGATTAATGTGACCCGGCCCGGCCGGGTCGGACCAAGGCCCGGGTCCGGTCTACTTTAAAAAAAAACATTGTTTGGGCTCTTGGGCTACTAGCCGTTGGGGGTGGGGCTGGGGACAACCCAAACGGCTATATAGCCGTTGGGTGGGGTAAAGGGGGGGGGGGGGGTTGGATGGTGGGGTGGGGGGTGGTGGGGGGGGGGGTAAAAAAACCTATAAATACTCCTAATCTTAAACATTTTTTCATATCTCTTCTCCAATTCTTCCTAAATCCTATTCTTAACTCTCTACTCTCTAATTCTCTTATTCTCCAATATATTATATTTATTATTTATATATCTACTTTATAGTTTATACTTAAGAAGTTAAGATGGAAAATCAAGATGCCATTATACGGTATAATTTTGATAAGCAGAAGGACCCGAAGACCGGGATGTGGTACGCCATTTGCAAATGGTGCGAGAAAAAATGTAGCATGGGGGTTTCTGGCGGATTCGGGATGGCAATCAAGCATATGAAGTCATGTGACAAAGCCAAAGGATCGGGAGGTGCGGGAAGTTCCGATTGATTACAATTTTCAAAATGTTTATTTCTTAAAGTTTGTTTTAATTTTCAAATGTAGTTCCTATCTCATTTCAAATAAATGCAATTGAAGTTTGTTTTTAATGCTCGTATAAAACTATAAACTATAAAATATAAATTATATAAAAAAAATTAACTGGCCCGAACCGGACCCGACCCGTGACCCGGGCGGGTGGCCCGGCCCGAACCGGACTCGTCCAACCCTCGGGCCGGTCCCGGGCCCATGTCATACAACCCGGCGGCCCGACCGGGCCCGACCCGACCCGAGTCCAACCCTAGTTGTCCCCAGCCCCACCCCCAACGGCTAGTAGCCCAAGAACCAAATATTTTTTTTTTAAAATCTGAAAAGACCGGACCCGGGCCCGGGCCGGGTCACATTAATCCAGCACCGAGCCCGCCCCGCCCATTCCCACCGGTTCAGGTCCATACCCGGTCCCGGACCGCCCGACCGGGCCGGTCCCGGGCCCGCACAGTACCGGGCCGGGCCGGGTCACGGGCCGGGCCGGGTCACGGGCCGGGCCGGGTCACGGGCCGGGTGGCCCGAACCGAATCCACCCCTACTATTCCTTCATCTAATCTAAAAGTTTTTCTTCATTTTATAATTGAATGTCACCAATTTTGATATATAATTGTGCTTTGTTCTTCATTTACATCACTTTACACGTAAGAAGTGGACATTTGTGTAGGCAAAGCCATTGTAGAATAACAAAACTTACAAAATAACTTCAAAGATCCTAACACCGTCTTAAATTAAACTCCGTAAAACAATTGATGGTGTTGAAGTATAACAGAATAACAGATACTCCTTCCGTCTCGAAATTATCTTCATTCTTTCCTTTTCGGTCCGTCGGTCCGTCCCAAATTTATCTCCTTTCATTTTTTGGCAAAGAATTTGTGGTTCACAATCATTCTTACACATTTCTCTTTCCTCTGCACAACTCTCCACCACATATTTCTCACTATCTTAAAACTCGTGCCCAGTCAAATAAGGAGATAATTCCGGGACGGAGGTAGTACAATAGACTACTCTTAACCGCCTTCAAATGTTATGTTTTGTTGTACACTGGTCCTGTCAAAGCCCTTCAAATCTTATTCTTTGCTGTGTATTAACTATTAAGCTCGTACATATAGAGGCAAAGGTTATAATCCCAGGGCAACATGCTAAACATGATTTCAACTGTCATCGCAGTCAAGAATGATGCAAGGATTGCTTAAGGATCGTGTAGATTCAATTTCCGAATTGATATTTCTCTCATATGTCTGGGTTACAAGAAATTCACTCTAGAACTTAAGCACATGAACTAGAGCCAAACTATTGAGTATATGGATTGTTTTCTTAATTTGAATGCCAAAAGCGATTAAGATATGTTGTATCTCTTGTCTCTCCCTTCTTTGTACGAAATATGGTAATATATATCGATATTAACCGTTCCATACAGTTACAACACATTTGAGAATAATCATGTCAGTTTTTGGAAAAATGCACAAAATTGCCCAACCGCTCTAGACCTCAGTCTAGAACCACATAGTTGGTCTACTGAGTGTTCTGAATTGAGACGTAGACACTTTGGAATAAAATAAAACCCGTTCTTATATACAAGTGTGCACTCCACACCTACTAGCTTGTATTAGAACACAGTTCTAATTCTCATGGGTACTCATGTCAATTCCAATTACACAAAACGGCCGGTGACACTAAAATCTCCAACACAAAATACATTTCAATTAAGATCGACGGGCACGATTACGCCATGAAACCTCTTGCATTGCCATCACCTACCAGATGAGACAAATATCAGTATAGACAATAAAAACTTAACCTGGATGCTTTCTGTTCAGTTATTTCTTTTCATTATTAATATATTCTTTTCATTATTAATATATTACTCATTACTCAATGTTATTTTAATATATCAGATGTGAAACACGAAACAATCATATTGGAATAGATGTAATTCTATTATATTTCTGACAAGAAAAATGTACAAAGATCAAAAGAAACATTGACCATACCAAAGGCAATCAAATCAGATTGAACTAGAAAAATTCAGACAAAATCAGATCAGGCAAAATCTAAAAAAGATCGCATTTTTTCAGTCAAAGGGAACGGGTCCTTAACATGTGGAGTTTCAGAAATCCATTAATTGCTGATGAATACTGTTATCACATAAAGCATCCTAAAATAAAGAGATCAACGTATGGCATCCTATCGCGTAAAAGAGGAGCATTGGATCTCATCACATTTTTCCAGTCGAAGGGAACAGGCCCTTAACATGTGGAGTTTCAGACACCCATTAATTGCCCATAAATACCGGTATCACATAAAGCATGCTAAAATAAAGAGATCAATGGATGTCATCCTATCATGTCAAAGAGGAGCATTAGATTCAGCCACTAATTTCCGGAGTGACAACTCAGTCTTGCAGTTTGCACTAACCTGGTCACTGATGAGATTCATCAAAGGGTCACTTTCAGGGGTTTTGACATTCTCTTTTTCTATTTCATCATCTGCCTCACTGAAAGGTGGATGTGAAGCAGTTCCATAAACATTCTCGTCTTGACGTGAACAACCAAAAATAGCCTCATCATGAGCAGCCTTGATTCGGTCTTCCCTTCTAGCCTTCAAAATGACAAAATATTTTAAACTAACTTCACGTCTCTCTCATGTTACTAAAAATGAGGGGAAAAAATGCAAAATACAAACTCCATCCAAGTGATGGCCATGAGATGTGGTTTGAAGAATTAAACATAATGAAAAAGATTCTACCTCCATTGTAGAAAACCGAAAAGTTTGACCAATGTGTTTGACTAACACTGCATCATCTTCTGCAACTGCAAGCAGTGAGATAGTACAGTTAGTTTCTCTCATAGACATATACAAGAGCGTTTTGCTTTTGTAATAGAATTCCTATTAACACTGCATCATCGTCTAGAAATTCTGATCAACTCCAAAAAGGAAACAGAATAATAGAGATCATAATCAACTCCAAATAGGAAACTAATAACAAATATCCTAATTAACTACAAATAGGAAACAAATGATAGAAATCCTAATCAAATCCTAATCAAATAGGAAACAAATCAGGAAAATTATAAAGAAATAAAATTAATTAAACAGCCCGCAACCAGCCCCCCCCCCCCCCCCCCCCTCGTGGGCATATTAATTGTGGCCATTCACCTTCTTAGTCTGAGGTCATTCACCTTCTTAGACAAGTTGTGGAGAAGTATAGAGACACTAAAAAGGATCTGCATTTGGTGTTCATTGACTTAGAAAAGTCATATGATAGGGTACCTCGAGAAGTTCTTTGGTGGGCCTTAACTAGAAAAGGCATATCACGTAAGTATATCAGCATCATCATGGATATGTATGATGCTTGTACTACAAGTGTCCGCACTAGTGTAGGGAGGACCGCAGAGTTCCCTATTACTATTGGAGTGCACCAAGGATCTGCTCTGAGTCCTTTCTTATTTGCATTAGTCATGGATGAACTTACGAAGTCAATTCAAGAAGATATACCGTGGTGCATGATGTTTGCCGACGATATTGTATTGATTGATGAGACACAATCCGGTGTTAAAGCAAAGTTGGAGGTATGTCGACAAACATTGGAGAACAAGGGTTTCAAACTAAGCCAAAGCAAGACTGATATATGGAGTGCAAGTTCAGTGGAGGTAGAAGCAGTAGCAACAATGGGATTACTCTTGATGGTAAGGAGATACCGGTGTATGATATGTTCTGTTACTTGGGATCCATAATTCAGAAGGATGGTGAATTAGATGGAGATGTATGTCATAGAATCAGAGCTGAGTGGATGAAATGGAAAAGTGCTTCAAGATTTCTATGTGATCGAGGTATGACGACTAAACTGAAAGGTAAATTTTATCGTACAGCAATTAGGCCGGCATTAATGTATGGCGTAGAGTGTTGGGCGGTGAAGCAATGCCACATTCAAAAGATGAGTGTGACAGAGATGCGTATGTTGCGTTGGATGTGTGGACATACCAGAAAAGACCGTCTGAGGAATGAGGTAATCAGACAAAAGGTGGGAGTAGCACCTATAGAAGATAAGATGCAGGAGTCTCGTTTGCGGTGGTTTGGGCATGTGCATAGAAGACCGGGTGATGCACCTGTTAGACAACTTGAGGGGTGGGGAGAAGAGTCAGAGAAGAGAGGGAGGGGAAGACCCAAACAGACTTGGATTAGAGTAATCAGAACTGATATGCGTCTTCTTGGGTTGGATGATAGTATGGCTTTGGAGAGAGCAAAGTGGAGGGTGCACATCCATGTGGACGATTGATGTCTTGTCTACCTTTCCTCTCTTGTTTCTTTTATCGTTTATCTTCCTTATCTTTTTATATTCTTATGTTATTTTCATCTTCTAGCTTTTTTATGCTCTTTTATTTATTTTTCTTTTATCTTGGTTATATTCTTGTGTTATTGTTATCTTATATTTATGTATCTTTATTTTATTCATTTTATCTTACTTTTTTTCCTTTTCTTGTCCGCCTTCTCTTTTTGGCATCGATATCATAGATCGATTCATGTTAGCCGACCCCAAATTCTTTTGGGATTAAGGCTTGGATGTTGTTGAACCAGCCCACGAAGGCCGCCTTCAATAAACCCACGGGGGCCTCTGCCCCTCTTTCTCCCGACCTAGATTATGCTCTATATCAAATCCATTTCCCTTCGAAACAACCTTGTCCTCAAAGTTGAAATCCGGAAACCGGATCACATTTGTCCCTGGGGGCTGCCCAGTATCTTTAGAAAAGCTGCCACTAGATCCCCTTATGCTGCCACCACTCATGGCCATGCTGTTACCCCCACTAGGTCGCAAAAAACTGCCCGAATGGGATTCCATATTGTAGGATTGGCTCTCCTGACCTCCATTCTGAAATGACAAATTATCCTCAATATCTGTGGCCAACTCCATTGCTGTCTCCAGATTGTTTGGCATCAGCAACCGTAAAGATCCCTGAATCGCCCCTTTCAGCCCATTCAGAAAATACCCCAGATAATGATCCTCAGAGAGCCCGGGAACCTGACTGGCCAATTGAACAAAAAAGTTATTATATTCCTCTACGGTTCCCAACTGTTTGACCCCGGACAGCCGTTCAAATTGGCTGCCTTTAAACCGTGAATCGAATCAGGCCACCAGTGTTTGTGTGAATTCCTCCTAGGTCATGCACGGTTTCCGTGCCTTCAACCAGGTCAACCAGTACAGAGCAGTCCCTTCCATGGCTACCATAGCTGCTGCCACTTTCCTTCCAGGTAGGTTTTGATTAATTTCGAACTGTTGCTCAGTCCTACCCACCCATCCAATCGGGTCTTCTCCATCGAATGCTGGCAGCAAGGTCGGTGTAGAACTGCGCGAGCTGCCGTAGCTACTGTGTGCCGCTGCAGCGGCACTGGAGATAGCAGCTAACGATCTGTCCACAATCGCCGGCAGTACGAAGGCCTTGGTGAGCACCGCTAGTGATGCGGTGATCTCGGCCAGTTGTACGCCGTGTTCTTCCAAGATCTGGTTCATCCGTGTTTGCTAGGCCCGCATCCGAGTTTGCTCGGTCTACATCTCTGTCAAGCGATCATTTTGAGATCTCGTCATTCCGGCGGGACGGGATCCGGCAGGTTGGACCAATTGATGAAAACAGAAAATAAACATCAACGGGATAAACCGTTGCCTAGAGCCAAAAGGCTAAACTCCAAATTTATTCATAGATCCGCCAGAATGAATCCTAACAAGGGGTTTAAATACTCATCTACTAAATTCCCAAACTAGGAAACAAAACCCTAGAAATTCTAATCAACTCCAAATAGGAAACAGAATAATAGAGATCATAATCAACTCCAAATAGGAAACAAATAACAAATATCCTAATTAACTCCAAATAGGAAACAAATAATAGAAATCCTAATCAACTCCAAATAGGAAACAAATCCGGAAAATTATAAAGAAATAAAATTAATTAAAAGGCCCGCAACCAGCCCACAAAGGTGGGCTCAAGCCCGTCCCCGCCTTCAGTAAACCCACAGGGGCCTCTGCCCTTCTTCCTCCCAGCCTAGATTATGCTTTATATCAATGCACGCCTGATTCGACTGGACCGGGAAAGGCTTGTCAGCCTAGTTTTCTATTTGCAAACAAGACCTGGGCCCTTTTCAAATAAAGTAATAAACCCATATTTATAATAAGATACAGCCCATCCAGTAATAGGTTGTAGCAACACAAACCCAGATCAAAGCCTTCTCAGAAGCCACAGTAACAGTTCTCATCGAGACTCTCCTGTGCTGAACCCACACAACCTTTTCTCTGGTGCGCTCAGCTCAAACTACACGCAACAGGCAGAACCGCAGAAGCCAGAAGACATTTCTCCTTCATCTTCTTCTCAGTTTGTTTTGTTCATCTTCTAGTTTTATTCATTTGTTTTTTCATCTTGTTCTTTTCATTTTCTTCTTACCATCTAGTTTTATGGTTCTCTTTTCTTCTATAGACTGGATACTTCCAGTAAACTTCCGGTCTATATACTTCCAGTATACGCTATACAGTCTATCATTTCATATTGTCATATGGATACTTCAATATTTCATATAGTCTAATCATATCATAGTTTTATACAGTATATATACATGTCATTATTTGTATATTTCCTTTCTTTATTTGTATCATTACATTCAAGTGTATCTTTATATCTGATATTGTTGTTATCTGATGGGCTGAATGGTATAGGTAATATTTTCTAAACAGTGTGCCTGACATGAGTCAGGTGAGCAATTCAATTGCACCTCAGGCACTGGAGTGCCCTAGCACCTTGAGTGTGCCCCGTGACTATAACTACCTTGTAAACCACAAACAAAATGTAACTAAGATTTGGTTGAGTTTAGGAATAAATATCCGCATATAATTTGAATTATATGCACCTAGTTCATAATATACACGTACTGTTGTAATCCACAGTCCAAAATGGTGCACATAGTAACACGCCCTTGTTTAGGACCTTTCCTCTAACATTAACGTATTTGACGACCTATGGAGGTCAATGCACCTTCATGGCTACATGAAGGCTAATTTGATTTACATAAACTGTTTTTCATCTATTGTACTTCATGTAACCTATACATCAGATGACTACACAAGGTCAATTGAGAGTGCATCTGTATGTGTGCATTTAAGTTTCCCAACTTCAAGAGCTCTTTTTGATCTTTAATTAACTAGCATCAGCGATGGTAGATAAATTTATAGAGGTCATGAATTATCTACAACAAATGGACCGATTTAAACAATGAGATAAGACCAGAGTGAAGGAAACAATAGGTTCACTTTTGACACTCAATCCATCTGAACTCAATCCATCTCAACTCAATCTTAAGATACTCATATATTATATAAAACAAACAATCACAAATAGCAACCAGTCAACCACGCTCGCTGTTAGCCATGCCTTTTTCTTCCCTTTAGGAGGTAGTAAACTGAGGAGGATTTAGCCATTTAGTACCTCAGAATGCATGCTCCCTCATCCCATAAAAAACATCATGATTAGAAGAAGCTTATTCACGCCAAAATAGTTTGATTTAAAGAAATATAAACTAGTTTTTCATGTGATTACATGACTTATTTAATAGTAGTACGGTAGTACCTTGCCAAAAATAAAAAGTTTGTATCCCCGCCATATAAGGTTCTTTTTGGGATGGATGGAACTTTAAATAAACAATTCATCAGAATAGTAGCAGGACAGCTAACCTTCAATCTCCTCATCATCCAGAGGAGCATCCTTGTTAAAGTCGAAACGTTCCCATCCAGAACCCATTCCGTTTGCTTCATCTCTCTCAGCTGTTATTAGGATAACAACAACTTCCAAGCCTTAATCCCAAAATATTTTGGGGTAATAAGGATAAAAGATGCAAGAATGCTAGATGATGATGATGATGATGATGAAAAAAACCACAAAATGACAAAAGTCTGCTATTACTCTAAAAAACTTGAGGTGCTATGCAGCTGTGAGGTGAGGGTAAGCTTCAAGGCAGTTTGAGGCATAATCCTCAAACTTTATTGGAATTTCCTTTACCGTTCAAAATTATTGACAATCTAAAACATATTATCAATCATACATAAATGATGTCTACATTTCTACAAAATGTATAGTAGTTGTAGCCTTGTAGGTTGATGGCAAATTATGTGCAAAGTATTACTACCTTCATTTATTTAATTAAGTGCGAGAAATTCATCATCATAGGTTATGTGAACTTTTTAAGTAGAGCTGTGTGATGATGATAATTGTTGGTTTTGGAAGATAAATTCCAGGGCTTTTGATGGGCTTGGTGATACAAATATGAGGCTTAAAAACGCTACAAGCCTTAAAAGCCTCGCCAAAGCCTAGCCAACTAAGGCTTAGGCTAAATCCGTGGTTCATTTGTTGAATGCATTTTTCACCACCTCAAATTAAGGCCTTCGAAAAAAGTCTCAAAAAAGGATTTTAAAACCATGATATTCCACACAATGGGTACACAACACACACTTAGAGCGAATGTGCACTTACCAGTTTCAGATAGCTGTAATTTCATTTTGGCTTTAACTCTTTCAGCTGGAGTCTGTTGATAATAACAGCAACCCAAAATCTCTTGAGATATGTATATATAAAGTTGCAACAAAATAGAACAGGTCAAAGCATTACTATAAAATCTATAAAGGTTCGGTTTAACATACGCATTTATGGAGAATCAAATTTAAAAGGTCGCTTCTTCTTTTGATTTAGTAAATGAAGCATACCATTTTGTCATACCCCTCAATCACCGCGGCATAATCAACAAAGTCTTTTCTACCCTTTCCAGCCTTAGACTTCTTCCCTGATCTTCCATCTGGCGGTGACACATTACTATTCTTCCTCCTCTTGTCCCTCTCTTCATCTGAACCACTACTTGACCTCCTCCTCCTCTCTCTAGCTCTATTTCTACTTTGACTTCTAGACCTATGTCTATGGTTAGAGCTGTCGCTCCTGCTTCTAAGACTTGAATCCTTCTCCCTATCTTTACTCCGGCTCCGGCGCTTAGAATACCTCTCTCGGCTTCTACTCCGGCTTCTTCCGTTCGTGTGAATTTCACGGCTAAGGCGCGAATTTTTACTGTCATTATGCCGGTCCCTGGAAACCTTCGAAGCAGAAATGGATTTGTCTTCTTCTTTAGGTTTCTTCTTCAGCTTGTTCTGGATTGTGTGAAGCTGATATTTTTTCTCTGACTCTTCATTCTTCGAAGCCGACTCTCTGACGAACTTACTGTGGAAGGAAGCGGCGGAAGGGATGGCAGAGCCTACGGAAGGGACGGCGTCGTTTGAGCTGGATGCGGCAGAGAAGCCCAGGCCTTGCTTGAATCGCGCAGCGCCGCCTCCTTTTCGAGAGAGCTCGTCATAGTAGGCCGCGGCCTTTTCTTCATCCATTGAGATGGAGTTGGTGGCGTTGGACGGCTGTGTCGGGAGTGATAGGCCGAGAGAATTGGATCACGGGTCAGTTTTAATAAAAATTGGTTGGAAAAAGAGGCAAATAGACTCTCAAATTAACTTAAAAAGTGAAAATCAATTCTTATACATGAGGCTTTGTCCGGCTATCTCCATTTGGGTGGTTTCTTGTGGAATTTTTTGATCAATTTTTTTGAGTATCTTGTTCATTAAATCTAGTTTACTCATACCAAATTTCAGCTAAAATATAAATCGGGAAGACAGTCAAATGAATTTTTGAAAATAATTGCGCAGTTAAACAGCGTAGTACATTCCAGAAAATCATTTCACAGTCTTCCCGGTTGAAGTTTTATCTGAAATTTGGTAAGGGTAAACTAGACTTAATGAAGAAGATGCTCAAAAAATTTCATCAAAATATTCCAACGGGAACCTTCTCAAATGGCGACGGCCGGACAGAGCCTCCTATATAAGGGGTGATTTGCACTTTTAAAGTTAGTTCGAGAGTCTATTTGACCTTTTTCTCAAATTAGTTTAATGCACCAAACCCCTCGTGAAATATAAATTCGGCGCATTAGCCCCAGTAATTTAAAAAATGTGTCAAACTCTCATGTGTTTTAATTAGAAGAAATGGTGAATTAAGTACATCAACTTGTATGAGGTGAAGTAAAATGACCTTTGACATTCATAAGTACATAAACTCGGTTATTTAGTGTGAATTGAGTACACTTGTTAAACTAACACATTAGTATGGATGAGTTGGCTAACGAAGTGTTGAGTAAGAAGGAGTAATGGACCAAGGTTATGTTGCCGACCTTCATAAAGTCGACCAAAAAGGGAAAATCGACCTTCTGAGGTCAACCTACAGGGGGCATCGACCAACAGGGGTGCATCGACAAAAAGGAAGTCGATCTGAGGGGGACTGACTAGACCAAAGGGAAGTCGATTCAAGGGGCTAGGGTTGGCATCGACCTTCAGAAAGTCGACCTATTACCATTATACTTCGTATTAGCTAACTCAGACGTATTAATGTGTTAGTCTATTAAGTGTACTCAATTAACACTAAAAAACCGAGTTTGAGTCATTCTTTGTGTCTCAGGGTCTTTTTGGGATGGTTGATGGCTCTATTCAGGTACCCTCCATGTATGTCATTGATTTTAATAGTCGTCAAATCATTAATACGGAATATTATCACTGGCTATGAGTGGATCAAACAATCCGATCTTGGTTGTTTGCTACACTTCATCGTGATGTGCTGATTGATGTACATGATGTCAAACGTTTTGCTGGTATCTGAGAGATTACAAACTAGATTTATGTCTGCTAGTTTAGTTCGCTCAATGGAACTTAAGCTCTGTTGTCCAATACTAAGGCTCTGTTCGGTGTACACCTTCAGCTCATAATGAGCTGGAATTTTTAAAGTTCAGCCCATAAATAGAAAAATGATGTTGTTTGGATAGGAGACTGAAAATATCTGGAGCTGCTAAAAATTAACTGATTAGAAAAGTTATGAGGCCAAGCATTTCTGTTCAGTCGATCAGATAATACCCTTCCATGCCTAAATTATCCTTGCATACCATCCTTCTCTTTCGCCTAACAATCTATAATTGACCTCTATGTTGTTCTCTTCTTTTGTCCGACACTTCCCTTTAAATTATTGAATTGGAATGTAACAACAACGCCGGAAAGGGTTGGAAAGTGCGGCACGAATGGCCGGAATGGAGATGGACCCCGACAGTGAGCTAGGTTGGAATCAGAAAGTGTGGTAAGGGCAGTCAACACTACTGCAAGTGCTGGAAATGGAAAGAACGGCCGGGCTGGCAAACGACAACAAGGATCTTGGTCTTTTAGGCCGTTCTATGTTGGCTGCTGCAATTATAGGAGTAAAATACAACATCCTTGATTAGTAGATCAGTATGATTTATATGTATCATTTTTTACTAGCATATTTGGATCCGTAGTACACTTTTTTCACTTCACTTCGCGAAGATTAGCAGAGGGATTGTCAACCCTTGACCACCAACAATTTCAGAGAATTTATTGTTTGTGCTTTGTGTACATGATTCATAATCAAAAGTTTATATGGAGATTCAATACTTTTGTTGATGTTATATTCGTTCATTCGTTACCTGGTAATCTATATAGAGTATAATGTTATTTATTACAGAGTATATAGCAGCAGTGAGAAAAATCGAGGCCAAAGATGAAATATTAAAAATCAAATGATATGCCCTTTAGTGTAATTTAATATTATTAAGGCGTTTTCAGCTTTTTTTATCAAACAGATCTACTTCATTGAGTTGGTAATTCAGATTCAGCTCTTGAAACTCAAGTTTCGGACAATAAGTTTTAGTTCAGACAATAGCCCATAATTCATACATTAGCCTCAGTTTCAGCTCGTTGTGCCAAGCATAGCCTAAAAAGAAGGAAAATCAGTCCATGGAGCATTATTTGAGACTTGAGAGACATTAAAATTTTAGCTGACACCTGGTTGTGATTAATTACCCTGTCTCCGATAAGGAATTGCTTCAGTCCACACTTCTTGACTTGGGTCCAAATTATGAGTCTATTGGTTGCACTATATCCTTGTTCCCTGAAAATTTTCCACCTCATATTTTTCACCCGAGACTGTTAGAGGCGGAGCAACGTGTCCTTTTTCTCCATCAACAACATCGGTCTCATCTTCATCAGGACTTTGGAGTTCAGGCTGGATACGGATAACAACGTCAAGTCGCAGCACATCACAGGAGAGGTAGCCATAACAAAAGTGGTCGCGACAGGGGCCATTTTTATCATCCATGATAGCAACATGGTTCGACGCATGGACTGCCCCAGGGACAACATGCCACCGGGGCGCGGCCGTAGGGCGTGCTTTACCACGGAGGCTTCCTAATTCTACCATGGGTAATTCTGTCTTGTCCATTTTAAATACCCGTGCTATATTTACTTGTGGTACTCATTTTGGTAATGCAGGTTTTTCATTGTGGCACTCATTTATATTTACCTGTGGTATCCTTGGTTTAGTCCCACCTTCAATTGTGTGTCAAACTTGTTTCTCTGCAAGTAATTTCGGTCTTCATTGTCCGTCTTAATTCCACTCTTCATTGTCCGTCTTGGTTTTCACAGTCTTCTGCACCAGCTCTTATGACACTCGCAGGTGAATGTCACGATGCTTTGTGGTATCCGGACTCTGGTGCTTCTGCTCATCAGCTCATATAACTTTCTCTGAAGGTATTGTGACTAATAAATCTTCTTATTCTGGTCCCATATATGTTAGTATTGCTAATGGTACTCAACTTTCCATTAAACACATTGGTAATATTACATTAAAACCCTCCAACCGACCATTGCTATTAAAATATGTTTGTCATGTGCCTCACATAAAATTAAATTTACTATCCATTTAGAAATTGTGTGCTGATAACAACCGTGTTGCAATTTTTGACAAAAATTCTTTTCTTGTTAAGGACAAAATCTCAGAGGCGATTCTTCTTCGGGCGCAACATAATGGACATGTCCACCCTCTCAGTCTTAGCCCCACTTCACCTTTAGCTTTATCTTCTATTATTACCTCCGGCCCTGTGTGGCACCGTAGATTAGGTCATTGTGGCAAAAATATTTTACGTCTTTTGCGTACTCAAAAGCTTATTTGTAGTTCTTCTAGTTTTTCTCATGACTGTGTTTCTTGCCGGTTGAGCAAATCTCAGCAATTACCTTTTATAGATGCTAGTCATACTTCTTTTTTACCTTTGCAATTAATTCATTCTTATGTGTGGCAGTCTCATGTTCTTTCCAATTTAGGTTTTAAATATTATTTGTGTTTTATTGATAATTTTTCCAGCTTTACTTGCTTGTATCCTCTGCGTACTAAAAATGAGGTTTTTGGTCATTTTCGTTCATTTAAAGCTTTAACTGAGAATCTTTTTAAATCCAAAAATTAATGTTTTTCAAAGTGATGAAGGGGATAAATTTGTTATCGTTAATATGCAGCAATTTTTTTCTGAGCATATGATTTATTTTCAAAAATCTTGTCCTCATATTTCTCAACAAAATGGAGTTGCTAAACGTAAACATCGTCATCTCCTAGAACTAGCTAGGACTATGTTAATTATCGCCTCTATTTGACTTTGAGTATCATAGTATTGTTGATGCATTACAATATGGGAAATGGAAACTAATAATCCAACCTTTTAGCGGTCTTCTTACAATAGTCCCACCTTTGCATTATTCATGAATAATCCAACCTTTGCATCCCATCTTCATTCACTGGTCTCTAACCGATTTATGACCTGTTATTCCAAGTTATTTTCTTATCTTTGTGAAACATTATACCATAATTCCCATCTTATGATCACATAATGTTTTGCAAATATAAGAAAATAACTTGGAATAACATGTCATAAATTGGTCTGGGACCAGTGAATGAAGATGGGGTGCAAAGGTTGGATTATTCATGAATAATGCAAAGGTGGGACTGTTGTAAGAAAACCGCTAAAAGGTTGGATTATTAGTTTCCATTTCCCCTTACAATATTTAACTTTGACAACACCTGATATTACTTATGCCGTGCATTTACTGTCTCAATTTATGCATGCTCCCTGTACTACTCACTTGTTTGCAGTCAATAGGATCTTTAGATGTTTGCGGGGAACACTTGATCATGGTTTGTGGCTTTGTCCCACTACACAGGCTACATGTGTCATTGCTTACCCTGATGCTGATTGGGCAGACTACACAGACACCTCTCGTTCCACCGCTGGTTTTGTTGTATTTTTTGGGCCGAATCTTATCTCTTGGAAGTCCAAATAAAAGGCAATCTACAGTCTTCAAATCCTCCACATAAACAGAATATAAAGGTATTTCCTATATATACAGTCCAATACATGTTGCATATCCGCTATGTCCTATATGAGCTTGGTTTTCTAGTTAGAGCTCATGTTCAGCTTTTTTGTGGTAATATCTCTGCTTCTTACTTGACTGTCAATCCAGTTTAGCATGCTCACAGCAAGCATATTCAGATTGATTACCACTTTATTTGAAAACGTGTGACTTATGGAGGTTT